GCATGTCCCACTGGGAGGAGACCCAGGACATGCTGGAGAGCCTATGTGTCACGGCTGGCCTGGGAATGCCTCGGGATTCCCCCAGAAGAGCTAGACGAAGTAGCCGGGGAGAGGGAAGTCTGGGTTTCCCTGCTTAGACTGCTGTCCCCGCGACCCAACCCGGAAAAGCGGTAGATGATGGATGGAGGGATAGAACTTACGAATGACATAGCGTTAAGAAGGCTTCAGGAAACTCATCCCAGATCCCAATTAAAGCTTATGTCATTTCATTTGTCCATGCATCCATTAGTATAAATTTTATGTTTTACATCTGTGATGTAATAGGTCACCCAGAGAAATCCCAGTGCTAACAAGCTGAAAGGAGCCATATAAATAAATCGATTCCCATCCTGTGCATGTATACTGGGACAAGGACTGTAGTCCAATTAATAAGCATAGTCGAGCTATAACCATAGCGCAACTTAGCTGTGCATGTAAACGTAGTTTATAAAACAAGATGATTGCCTGTGACCATAAGGTCACTGATTCAAATCCCATCCTTTTCAGAATAGTCACATTGCCGCTGAGCCCTTGAGAAAGGCCCTTTACCTCCCAGAATGCACCAGGGAGGGCTGCCAGATAAATGGTGGACCCTGTGCTCAGACCGCAAGCTTCAAACTCACTTGTGTATGTCTCAAAGGACAGCAAGATAGCATATATAAAAACTAAAGATTTCCATTACACTTGTGCAAAAGGCAAATAGAATTTTATTCTTCATTAAAAATACTGTAGACATGTATTTATAATATGTTCTATACTTTACGATCTCACTTTTGTTATTCTCCTTTAGTTTTATTACCTGAACACCACCTAAATATCATTATGTATTTGTATTTGTATAATTGTGTATCCGTTATGTTTTTTACAACTGCGATGTAATAGGTCAATCGGAAAAAGCCCAGTACTAACAAGCTGAAAGGCGCCTTATCGCCACCTACCATAGCAGAGTCACACTTCAGTCAATAAAATCGATTGAAATCGATACAAATTAAATTTCTTTTTACATACGGATGAAAGCTGTGGATTTCACCAACATAGTAAAAGCTTTTAACCATAATCAGTATGTGCTCTTCATGTGATTATCGCTGGAGTCTTAAACACTGTTGTCACTCACTTTATATTAATTATTATTTTTCATCGAAATGTGCTTTGTAAACAGAGGAACACCAGAAAAGTCAGAGAAGAAACATCTACGTTAGTTTTGTCTTTTTCCTGTTGTGATCAAATGAGAGGTTTACAGACATTTGAGATATGTCCGCCCCTGCTACCCTCTATGGAAAATGAGCTGAGAGATTAAAAAACTCTAAAGAAGCTGCAGGAAGGCTGAAGGTCCATGTAAAAGTGAACATTCATTATCATATAATAAGGCTATATCTTGTTGTGAAAATCAAACCAAGAATATTTGGTATCTGAGCACAGTGGGATTCTGCAGTTATTGGTCCCCTAACCCTGACCCTTCTCCACCACACTGCTCTTATACTCTCATCTGTATTGCATATTTTATGATACAATAGATATATAAGATCGAGACAGAAGCTTTATTGATCCCAAAGGAAATTGCAAGCTTTAATTTGGTTTTATTAAGCCAGTATTATTCTGTCATCTGGGAATATCACCAAATTCTTTAAATATCTTTATTAAATACATCTATATTGCCATAACAACTGTTCACTTGCAGTGGCGTACCAAGAGGATCACTGACCAGGCACTTTGGCATAGTCCGAAACTAAGAACATCGCTCTTGTTGGGTTATAGGGTTCCTGTGCTTGTGACGTAAAAACACATACCCACAATGTTGCCAAATTTGCCAAACAAAAACAAAATACTAAACCTTTAATTTAAAACTCTTTAATATATATTTTTTTTTTACCAGATTCAGAAAATCATCTTGCAATTTGAGAACCACTAGCCAGCTATGAGCTCACTGAGGTCTCAATCTATGTCATTTTTTAAGAGCTAAAAATGAATTTTGAAGCTAAATATTCACCTGAATAAAAAATTGGGCTAAGTAACATTTCACATAAATAATTAATTATAAAAAAAAAACAGCTTATGAAGGGGACAGTATCAATAATGTGATTGACGAGAGTCACCCCCCACCCCTGGGTCCCGGACCTACTGTAACTATTTTACAAACCCTGGCCTTGGCCCTGCTCCCATAGAGTACTATATAAATAACTATATAAATCACACATCAAATTTTAAGCATTAAATTTTAGTATCATATGTAAAATAGCAAGGAAAATATGATGTGAGGGAAATATGTTGGCAATCAATAGCAATGATGGCATCTGAAAATGCTTGTTTTTTTCCACTATATAGAAAATATTCAATATTAGTGGGTTATTGGACCGAGGGTGTAGCTTTGGTTTCTACATTGTTATGGACCAAACTAGCCCCGACACCCCCTGCTTCTCTAAACTCACAGAAATCCCACCGTATGATAGCAGGGAATCCAAACACGGAGCAGACAGAAACCAAATACACAAAGCCAAAGTGATGGTCAGGAGCCAGGACAAGAGTCAGAAGGCCAGAAGGTCTGTCCATGGGGTGCTGGGTAAAGCAGACACTCCTGCAGACGCAGGGGAAGCTGGACACACACTCACAGGACCAGGTACTAGGGAAATCAGGCTCACGTGACCACATAAGAGGAGAGACCAGCACCCAGGAGCTAGCAGGGCAAGTAAGTCATCCCTTCTAGCAAGGGATAGACCACTTAAATTGGATCGGTAATTAACACAAATGGTCCAATGACAGCTCTCGGGAGGAGGGAGATGGGGTGCGGGGCATGACAGCAGTGTGGGATCAGAGACCGACCTTACATCCCTATCGTTCATGCCCGAATCTACACCCTTGTGTTGAACTTTCTGAGGAATACACAGCTCTTGGAAGGCTGTTAATAATTTCTTTTTGGAACCACTCCAAGAATTAAGAAACCTAGCATTTGCAAAATACTTTTTATGCCATGCTTCTTATTATCAACTACAATATCATAAAATCCAGACTGAAATATGGGGAAATTTAAATGAAAAGCAGGGTATTCACATCAATGTGACAATACAATGCTTTCTTTAGAAATACTTGTTTTCATGCATGGTCTTTTACAGACAGATATGTTCTTTGGCTAAAATTGTACAATACTAAAATCGTGGCTGGTGATCTGACACGACTGAGACATTACTTAACAGGGTTTAAGCTTAAAGTGTATATATCAGGCACAAAAAGGGGAACTAACTAAGACTGAGCCTAAATAAGACAGAACAACAAACTTCACAAACCTAGGAAATTACATCCCCACACTTTTGAAGCCTTGAATATGTCAGGCCAATTTATTATGTGTACAGTCCCGTCAGTGTTAGTTGAAAAGGAAAATTTCATATTCACCAAAAAAAGGGAAAATCAGCTCATAACTAACAGTTTAATTTTCCTGTAACACTCAGTGAGAAAAGAAGCACTATTGTGAGATGTAGTTAAGCCTATTTGGCCTATGTTACTAATCCGGTACTAAAATCTATTAAAGTATCTCCAGAATAATGTAAGGAAAATAATGATTGGGTCTCCAGCAACCCTGTCCCTATTCAGCTGAGCATAGCTATCCCACAGCAGACTTCCATGGGACCTTGTTTTTGGTGCCAAATGTAGTTGGCCCATCATGGCCTTTATTTCCATCAAAAATAGTTGGGGAAGATTGGGCTGTGGTTAGTCTGTCATATTGGGCCCATTATATTTAGCACAAGTTTCACAGCAGTTTTGGACCACATACATACAGCATGAAAATAAGATCACATAGCAGCAAATGAGGAGTATCCTGTTAAATAGGTGCATTGTGTTGCATATAAAAGTTGACGAAATGTTCAGATTTCAGGTGGACAGTCCACTTTTCTAGCCCCCATCCACCCCACTGTTGCGTGTACTTTTCACCCATTTGCCCTCATTTGACAACTGCTGCACACAACAGAAGCCAACACCTATAAGAAATGACAATAATATGATGATGATGGCAATGTTAATATGGAGCTCCCTGTAAGCTCTGTTACATTGACATGGACGTCTTTTCAATGTCAAATCTTAATGTTGATGAGATGTCTGGAAAAGCCATCTATTCAATCTTCTCAGCTAGCTTTCGTTGGGTGGGTAACCAGAGGCCCATAAGCAAGCCCCCCCCCCCCCTCCGTGAAAGCAGCATTGATATGCAGTAAATCTTTCTTTAAATGTAGTTCACTTCTCACCCAACATCAGCCTGTGATTTGTGCTTCTCTTGTGAATACGTAATAAATCTGGATATCTGAAAGCACTGTAAGATTTATAATCATGCACCTTATAGTTTGCTTGTGTTATAAATGGATTATGTATTAAATTCACATGATCATTTTTAAAAAGGAACTGTGATCTGCCTAATGCTTTACATAGTTTTGTTAATGTAGCTGCTGTTTCACTATAACCTTTCACCTGTAATTGACTGTAAGCATTTTAGTGAATGATCAGAATCTGAATTTTTATTCTGAAAATACAAAAAGTACAAGGAATTTTTTTTGGTGCAGGAAGTGGCATGAAAATATGAATTAAACATATATTCAAGGCAAAACAATAAATAGAATAAAATTGAGATAGTGAAATAGGAATAAGATGTACAAATAATAAATAAACATGTAGACAAATAAGGGTTAGACAGCGAAATGTAAGTTCAAAAACTTTTTTTGTTTTGTTTTAGTATTTTTTGTTAATCTGGTCTGTGTCATATTTCCAATATGAACATATTGTGTGTCAGTCATATTTCATCCATCCATCCATCCATCCATCCATCCATCACTTATCCAGCACAGGGTCATGGCCCTGTATAACAAACCAGGATTTCTTACTTAGCTCAATAACTAGTGAGATTAAAGGTAGTTTGGGCCAAATGTAAGTGAACAAAGATAAAGTCAATTTGAACTGGGCTATCTGGAGTAGTTTTGTTTTGTTACGTGTTTGGCTTTATGAAATGTCCTTTAGCATGTTTCACATGCTTGGTTGGTTGTTTACTCACTTTTCTTGGCAGAATTGGTACAGTTCAACCAAATTTGCTGGTTTTCTGCCACAGACTTTTAAACACAGTCCACATAATTTCAATGGGGTTGAGTTCCGGACCTTGGGAAGCCCGTTCCAAAAACTTAATGTAAGCCTGACTTAGACATTCCAAAATCAGTTTTGATGTGTGTTTAGGGTCATTGTCTTCTTGGAACACCCAAATGTGTCCAAGTTTCAGTCTTTTGAAGGTTTGAGGTTATGTTGAAGAATTCCAAGGTGATCCTCTTTGTACATTATTCAGTGAATTTTGTGCATCAGTTCCACCTGGAGCAAAACAGCCCCAGGGCATGATGTTACCAATACCAAGCTTCACAGCTGGTACAGTGTTCTTGGGGTTGAATGGCTCTCCTCTCTCCCTCCAAACATACCTCTGGTCATTGTGGCTAAACGACACGATCTTTCTCTCATCTACTCATAAAAAAATCTTTTTTTTTTATCCATGTGATCAGCCACAGACTTAAGTTGAGCCTGAAGGTATCAATTCTAGAGCTGTCACATCTTACTTGGACAGCAGCCTCTCAGGCCATGGCCATGTAAAACTCACTGACTGAGGACAGTAACACTGGTATTCAAGCAGCTTCCAGTTCATAGCAGACCTTTTTATTGGTTGTTCTTGGATTGCATCTTACCATCTAGACCAATTTCCTCCCAGCTAAGAGTAGCAGTTTGAATCTACTTCCAGACCTTAGCAAAGTGTCTAGAGCTCCAAATAATTTATACTTTCAAACACTTCTTTGAACGGATTATCTTGGAATCAGAAGATGCTTAGAAATGGATCCAAAAGACATTTCTGACCTGTGTAAGTCCATGATCCTCTTTCTCAGGTCAGCACTGAGCTGCATGGACTTTCCCATGGCTGACCCAATGAGTGCTCTCAAATGAGCCTTTTAATGGTGGCACAGAGGAGCTACCAGCTGTACTTAATCAAAATCACCAACAGGAAATTAAGGGGCCTTGGTACAAAGTAAAAAAATATTTTGGACTTTCAGCACCTCTAAATTAATAATCTAAGTCGGTGTATGTATATATTTTTTGACCCTGTGATGGTTTCAGAATACCCATAATAAATAAATTTATGTGCTAACTTGCAATTTTTTTGTTATATGTTATATATTTGTTATAAGATGTAGTGTAAGCTATACATTCTGCTACCAATATAGAACGGTTGTGGAACTAAAAGCCTGACACTGCCGTGACATACATGTGTTATATAAGTGTATGCAAACTTTTGACCATAACTGTACAAAAACACAGTGAGTGGGGGATTTGGTCATCATCCACCAATGAGGAGCTTCATAGCAGCCATATTGGATTTACAGTTTTTCTGAATTGCTAAAACACTAAAACTCATTCTTGGAACAAAACTGCCAATTGCCAAAACTTATTTATTGAATCTGTCATTCGTTTGGTGAAACTTTAAACAGTGCTCACCTAGTTAGACACAATTTCCTGATCTGAGTCACCCTTGTGTCATAACACTAAACACATTGTCATTCATCAAAACACATTTTGCACCGTGGTGAACTTTGAGGCAAAATAGAAAACACAGGTCACAAAAGTGAAGCACAGCCAGCACACAGTAGACATCATTTAAACACAATGACTCAAAACTGTTGACACACGTTTCTAAACATGGGAAGAAGCCAAAGAGCGACTGGAATGTAGAATATGTACCTGATCAGAGTGCAAGTGCCACAGATGAGTTGAATTTCAACGTCAAGGTATAAATTTGTCACACAGAGGATTCTTCCCGCATTACCCAGCAAGGGAGAACATTTCCTGTGATGTAGACAAAGTTCTCTGTCATTACTCAGCTCTTAGACATGGTGATGAGATAGAAAGAATATTCTTCCTTGACTCTGGCTTGGCAGTTGCACAACATCTTACTGTAATATCCCTCTCGTTTGGATTTTTTTACTTTGTCCATACAGTAACCTTTTTGGAGTACTGAATACTGCAAACATTACATTTTGCAGCTCAACGTATAAAAAACCACATCCACAGTAAATGTTTTACATGCCAACAACAATAAGGCATCTGCTTCTCAAGTTTATCTTGAACCAAAAGTATACTTGTGGTATGAAAGCACAGTTTGTCTATGCTGGTAGGATAGGGCTCTGTGCCTGTGATTGGAAGGTCGTTGGTTCAAATTCTGTGATTGACAGAGCATGGTCACCATTGGGCCGCTGAGCAACCCCCTTAACTCTAGTTGCTCCAGGAACTGTCTGACCCTGCTGTCTCAATTGCACATCACTTTGGATAAAGATCTCTGCTGAATATATAAGTGTTGCATTGGCTCTGCTCTGTTCTTCCGCAGAGATCTCTGGGAACTCGGAGGACATCCCACTCGTGCGCTGGCGGCAGCAGTGGCTGGAAAATGGGACACTACTCTTCCACATCCATCACCAGGACAGCATGCAAAGCCAGCCAGGCCTGACCCCCACTGATTACCCCGCCACTGACTCAGCAGAGGAGGAACTCCGCATACTGCACATCTCTGTCATGGTATTCTTATATTGCATATCTTTTCCACGGTACTGCCATACTGCACATATTTGTCATGGTATGGCCATACTGCACATCTCCGTCATGGTATAGTCATGCTGCACATCTCTGTCATGTTATGGAAACAGTCCTGCAAAGAATGCAGTGTAACACGTTGACAAAGACCAGCACACACAGAACACCCATAGTCATCTCCATCATGGTATGGCTGTCCATCTCGCTCCTGTGAAGAAGGTAGTGCCCTTGCTTTATAACAAAAGGCGAAGGATGATAATGGCAGTTGGACAGGAAATCTGAAGTGGATTCATGTTGATGAGGATGACTATGGTAGTGACATTTACCTGTCGCAATTGAGGTAGGCTTGTAGTCTGGGTTGGTAGGATAGTAATGCTGTAGTGATCATTGAGCAATTTGCTTAGACTTTTTATGTTGGATACAGTAGTAACTAGAAAGGGAGGATGTGAGAACGACAGCATTGAATTTTTTAGACAGCCTAGTCACGTGCTCTGCACATCTAATCCATATTTATATGCACATATACAGTATGAGTCAAAGGTTTGGACACACCGAGCTGCCTACATCACTTGACTACATTGCTTTATTTCAGTTAAACATGGTTTAGTAGGAAGTTAGTCTCGGGTAAGTAATTGTTCATTTTTTGTATTAACTATACGTTAATTAGATCAAATAAAAGTTAAGAACATAAGAAGAACATAAGAAATTTACAAACGACAGGAGGCCATTCGGTCCATCAAGCTCGTTTGGGGAGAACTTAACTAATAGCTCAGAGTTGTTAAAATCTTAT